GACATAAACGCACACCGTGCATGTCATTTCTGCAAAGCTGCTCAGGCACCCGACGGAGCAGAGGCAAGGAAACGGGCAGGCTTCCGCGTCCTTCAAAGCGGCATACAAGCATTGCCCGGCGGGCTTTTAAAGACTGGAAGGAAGCTGTCCTAAACTTTTCCTGTGCTTCCTTCTATAAATTCCCAGTCCATTCCTGATGCTAAGTCAAACTGACAATACAACTTCCAGATGATCATCTCCTAGATATTTAGCTCGAAGAAGAAAAGATAAATAACTCCCTACAAGTGTCTTTTAGTTCACTTTCCAATCGCAAATCAGGGGTAGCTCACAAGCCACGCCTCGGTCCGGCGCGGCCGGGCACCGCAGCAGCGGCAATGCCGCCGAGACACCGCGGTTGGGCGCTGCGCGGCTGCGTCCCTTCCCTGGAAAGGTGGACGAGGAGTCCCGCGCCCCCCACGCACCCCCAGCGTGAACCCGTCCACCCAGCCCCTGCTCTGGTGAGAGGCTCCGTTCTTGACCCCGAGCAGGGGCACGGGCAAGGGCTGCGGCCTCCCTCGCCAAAGCCACCAAAGCCATTTTATCTCCACAGGAAACAAGGCTCGGGCACAGAACATGCCGGCCGTACAGAGGCGGGGGCACAGGGGTGCCCCGGCCACCTGACCTGCCCGCGCTGGCGGGCATGGCATGGCACGGCGAGGGCCAATCCGTTGGCCGGCCGCCGTCGCCCAGCCGACAGCAGCAGCCAGCCTCCTTGCCCCACGACGCCCTGCCCTGCCCTGCCCTCCGCCCCGCCTACCCCCCCGGCGCCTTTCCCCCAGCCACCCCGCGTTCCACCGGCAGCCTTCGGTGGGGCTGGGCACCAAGCGGGCACTGCCGTCCTACAGCGCCCGGGCTGCCGGGACCGCGGCCGAGAGCGGTCCTGTCCCCTCACCTCACTGCACGACTAAAATCCCTTTACTCTCCCAGTTCTGCTGACGGCACTGGCACAACAAGTGCCTTTCACCCAGTCTCAACCTTTCTTGTTAACCCTGTCTACCTCATCAGGTACCTCCGTTAAAGCAGCTATACATAAAGAAACCAACTGTGCAAAACCTTCAACCATTTCCCTGCCAAGAACTCCGCAAGATGATCAACATCAACTTTGAAAATAAAAATTGCTAACCCCTGTTCAAGAATGACTGCCAGAAGACGGCGCTTTTTTGTGAGACTCTGAATTGCTAAATCAGTTTTTGCCCTTGGTGATGTAGCCTGTTAGTTGCCTCTGTACTTGCCCAGACAAATTGTTAGAGGCTCTCGAAACACGTACCCAGTCAGCTTTAAATCAACAGAGGTTTCAAGGACCGCAGACGGCTGACAAAGACACCTTTGGAAACCACCCGCATGAAGAGCGTTTCCAAAGGGTTGAATGCCTTTTTAATTTTTGGATGTTTCGCGGTACCGTCTACTAGCTCTTAGTTTTGCTTTAAAGTCTGGACAGAACATAAATGGCCACTGTAAAAGAAACAAAGTAAACACAGCTCTTCAAGTAAGTGTACAGATCAGCCTTCTGTACCCACAGAACAAAGAAAAAAAACCCAAACAAAACCCTCCCTTGCAACCCTTGCTTCCTTCCTCTGCTGCTCACTGCTACCTCACGCATGGCAGATTCAAGTCGTGGCCACCCCTCTTGCGGCCCTGTGCCTGGCACAGCCCTTCAGCCACCACCTCAGAAGGAGCTTTCATTTTCAATTTTCAGTTCCTCCTGGAGTGCCGCCATTTTCTTCACCACACAGGCAG